CCGCGGTCCTCGGGCCCTCGCCTCCCCGCGGCCAGCGAGCCAGCCTCCCCCCGTCCCGGGGCACACCCTCCCCTTGTCCTGGGGCGCACCTTCCCCCCGTCCCGGGGCACACCCTCCCCTTGTCCTGGGGCGCACCTTCCCCCTGTCCCGGGACACACCCCTCCCCCCGTCCCGGGGCGCACCCTCCCCCTGCCCTGGGGCGCACCCTTCGGTGGCAAGGAGGGGGCCTGCAAGAATCATTCCCAGGCGAGCTCCTCACCTTTCCTGCCGTGTGCAACGCGCTCTTGTATGGCTGCTCTGAAGGGTGCCACTCCCGTGCCAGGGCCGATCATGATGATGGGGGTGTCGGGCTCCACAGGGAACTTCATCCCCCCGCTCTTCACCCACAGAGGCACCCGGACAGCCCCTGCAGAAGGACCAGGCCAGGTACAGTCAGGCCCTAGAACTGCAACTGCAATGTAAGCAGCAGGCATCCGCCTGGCAGAGCACTGCCCTGGGGGAAGCTCGGCCTTGTGCCAGCCAGCCACCATCCGGTGCTATAGGGAGACATACAGACAGAGCACAGAAGGAAGCGGCAGCCTGCATGTCATGGGTCTGAGGAAGCCGCTAAGTGCTGCAGCCCTGTGGGCACGCTCAGGGCATTTGGGGAGATGGACTAAATACGACCCCATCGTTCTTCCATCCCTGGAGCCAAATCGTCATTGTTCTACCAGGCGCCGGCGTGAACCCCAGAGACCATGGCCGCGGCACAGCAGGGAGCAGCCGCAGGGCCAGCTCCTCGCCTAAACCTAGCCCTGGTGGGCAGGAGGGGCAGTGGTGGAGGAGAATCGGTCACCCCGATGATGGCGTTCGGAGCGGCAGGACTGACCACGGTGAGAGCAGTTGGGAAGGTCCAGTTACCCTGACAAAGGGATGGCTTCCTGCCCCCCGTCTCCTCCCCGGGGATCCCTGTGACGGAGCAGAGGGCCACGCCCCTAGGGAGGGAGAGGGCTCCCTTGAGACGGACAAGGATGATGCATTTAACAGAAACACTCGCCTGCCCAGGGTCAGTGCAGGACCCTGGAGGCTGGACTCAGCACTTGTTCTGCAGCAGGGTTTGGAAGAGGGAGAGGCACTCGGGTCCTTAGAGTGGGGGCTGGATGGATCAGGCAGTCAGAGAGGGGCTGCGTGCCAAGGGGAAAGCAGGGCAATCAGCGCTGGGTCACTGTTCACAGAGTACCATGAAGAGGAGGGAGGCAGGGCCTTCGGCCTCTCGCCAAGCTAACCCGTGCCCAACTCCGTGCAGGCTCTCTGGCACAGAGGGGGGCATGCCCGTGGCCTAGGGGCAGTGGAGCACCCAGAGCTCTGCCTGTGATCCCGAGTGACCAGTTACCTTGCTGCGGGCGGAGGGATGCCAGCCAGGTCGAGCAGAGGCCACGTCGGGGTTTGCTGAGGCGTGTCTTGTACTGCACCACAGCCAGGAGGATCTGGAGTCTGTTGGGGAGAGCCTGGGTGCAGAGAGGTGCCATGTCAAACAGCCTGGACTCAACAGGCCCACCGAGCCAGCCAGGCCCTCCCGACTAACACCACGGGAGACCAGGGCAAAGCCCCATGTAGCCTCGCAAAGGACACCTGGCCCAGCCAGAGATGAGCGCAGTGGGGGTGGTGCAGAACCAGAGGGACCGACGGGCTCAGCTGATGCGGCCGGAGATGGGACAGGGGAATGGCTGGAGCACTGGTTTGCAGGAGGGGGCCAGGTGGTCTGACTGGGGCAGTTCCTGGGCCCGGTGCTCTCCCCACCCAGGGGGTACTTCCTAGCCTGAGGCTGTCATTTTGGCAACAGATCAGGGAATCCCTCCTTTCAAAGCTCACCCCTGACCAGCCAGCCCCTGCAGGCACGGAGCGCCTCGCCTGCAGGAGAGGGTCCCAGCAGAAACCCTCTCGACACCGCCAGACCGAGGGGACGGGCCAGCCCCAAAGGTTGAAGAACCCCAGGACGGAAGGGAAAATCCTACTAGCTACTGGGCAACTCTTCAGCTCCTGTTCACGCCCTCGCCCCCCACAGGACAGGCGCCTGAGTGCCATCTACTGGTGGGGACAGGCAACAACTACACCCGCTGCCTTTCATGACCCATGCTGGCGATACAATACCACTGTCACACCCATACCCAGAGTGCAGGGTGCCCAACAGTCCCCACCTGCGGCACGCCCAGGCCAGACACCCCTCACCTCATCGCAGCCCTCGGTCCATAAGGCTGGGGAAATAGCAGGGATCTCTTGGGCTACATTCAGCGCCAAAGCTCCTGTGACTCCCAGGGGCGCAGGAGTGAGGAAACGTGAATGGCCAGAGCTGGAGGTTGGTGCCTATATGGAATTGGCCATTCAACAGTCTTCACAGCAAGGGGTGGAGCCTGTGAGAGTTGTGGAGTCCGCAGGATAAAGGAGCAGACAGCTCCTTCCTCTCTGGGCACTGGTGGGGTCCCGAGCGAAGAGCCTTCTCAGGCAGTGAGTCGTCAGCCCTAGCCCCAGCAACTACGTGGGAGAACAGGAATGCTGGAGCTCCTTACCAGCATGGAGGAGGCGATGGAAAAGGCACGGGGCTGGATCCGGGGGATGAGGTCCAGCAGGTAGTCAAGCGGAACAGCACAAGTGGTGTGAGGGAAATCGCAGAGGACCTGGGAACACCAAAGAGATGTGAGAAAGGACAGGACAGGACCAGGGAGATGGGCCCATGGAGAGAAACCCCTGAGCCTGGCAGAAGCAGCCCTTTACTCAGCTGTCCAATGCTGGTAATGACACAGATGGCACATGCCCAACACCCCCCCCCCACAGCCTTTCAGGAAGGATGTTGATGAACTGGAGAGGGTTCAGAGAAGAGCTATGAAAATGATACCAGGATTAGAAAACCTGCCTTAGAGTGACACACAAGGAGCTCAATCTATTTAGCTTAACCAGTCAATAAGAACCTAACTGGGGAACAAATACTTAATCATGAGCTCTTCGATCTAGCAGAGAAAGCATAACACGGCCCAGTGGCTGGAAGCTGAAGCTAGACAATTTGGACGGGAACTAAGGCTGATGTTTGTATCAGTGAGAGTAATTAACCTTTGGAACAACTCACCAATGGTGGTGGTGGAGTCCCCATCACTGGCTATTTGTATATCAAGGTGGGATGTTTGTCTAACAGATCTGCTCTAGGGATGATTGTGGGGCAGGTCTCTGGCCTGTGCGATACAGAGGGTCAGACGAGATGATCACAATGGTCCTTTCTGGCCTGGGTGTCTCTGACTTGACACACACTGCTACCACTCTGTTCTCCTGGAAGGCAACCTGTGAGCGGGGCAGCCTGCGGCCATCTCCTTGGCACTGGTAGGCCCTCCAGATGTGCTTGTGCTCTGCCCACCCCCACACCAGAGCCCTCCATGGGCTCCCAGCCCTTGTCTCCTTCACAGAGTGCTCCGCACCAAGGAAAGGGAACCTGGTACTGTGGAGAGCAATATGTACAGGACATAGTTTCAGCACGGGGGCATGCAAGCCCAACCTTGCTGCCGGTGTCTAGAGCTTCCTGGCCAAACTGTCTAAGCCAATAAGGAAGGTTCTTTTCTTGCCCTTCCTCCCCTGCATTAAAAAACCTGGGAAATTCCATAGGAAAAAAATGTGTGTGAAGGGAACAGCAAAGTTGCAAATTAAGTCCAAGTCAGGGAATGTCCAGGTCACGGTGCCCTTGTGCATGTGCATTACACCCTGGGTCTTTCAGTCCAGGACCACGTGCAGCCTCGTTCAGTGCCCAGCTAGGACAGCGGGAGGTGAAGGAGATGGGACTCATCGTGAGAGAGCCCTTAGCCCTCCAGTAGGGTAGGGAAGTGGGGCTGGGGGCTGACAGGGAGGAGAGGAGCAGGGGAGGGAGTAATCACATGCAAGGAGGGCACAGCCTAATCCTCCAACACACTAGGACGACCCCCACCACTTTCTCTTGTTTCCTCAACTCCCCCCCGCTCCCCTTACCCCCAGGAAGGGCCCAACTCACCCTAACACACCCCTCTGCAACCCTCCTTGGCCTCCAAGGGCTGCCCGGGACTCTGCTCTTGGCTGTTACAGGGACTGTGTCAGGGGCACACTTCTCCGCGAGGGCCGACCTGCTGCCCAGCCAGGGGAAGGGTGGAGCAGGCACACGGCCCTTGCCGACCCTCGCTGTGCCTGACTTCGTCTCAATCGTCCAGCTTCAGGGAGAGGAGCAAGGCCAAGCAGAGCCAAGAACTCAATGCAGCTCCCCACAGAAAGTCCTCACTCTCCCTCGGCAGGTTCCTCCAGCTGCCCTACCTCCAAGGTGGTCCTGCGGGGCCGGTTGCAGTAGCTGTAGAGCTCCTCCTGGCCCTGCGCAGAGCTGAATTCCTGCAGCTTCTCCCGCTCCAGTTCGTTCGGCGAGAACCAGGACAAGAGCTCGAAGAAAGAGCGACGGGGAACACAGGAAATGTCCAGGTAGCAGGCGACCAGGTGCTGGATGGTGCATGGCTGCGGCAAGTGGGCAGGAAGGGGGATTCCTGCAAGGGAAGGCATGAGGCCAAGAGAGCTCTTGAGACTGGCGCTGACCCAAGTAAGGGGCAAGAAGCCTGGCTGCACAACTGCCCAAGGAGCTCCCGCCCCCACACCTAGGGCTGGCTCAGCTTGGAGCCTGACCGGAGCCGGAGAGGCTCTGCACTAGCAGAAGACACGTACGGTGCAGCGAGTGAGTGATGCTGCAGTCAGCTGAAGGGGGTTCACTTGTTCCTAGGGGAGTCACTGAGTCACCCCAGCGAATGGATTTGCCAGCACCCGGGGGAGCCCAGTCGAGTCGAACCCAGTGGAAGCTCCCCAGGACAGGTGACTTACCTGAGCTGTAACTGGTGCTTCGAGCTGCGGGTGCAGACGTGTGTTGCACTCAGGTGCGTTTGCACGTCGCGCATGACGGGTCGAAGACACTTTTCCTACAGCAGAATCCGCCAGGGCAGCAGGCGCTTGGTGTCTCCTTGTGGCCCCTCCCCAGGCTATATAAGGGTGGCACCAACCGAGCCCCCCTCAATTCTTTCCCTCGAGAGAGGCAGACTAGGACTCCAATGACGAGGGCTGGAGGGTGGGTCGCAGAACAGACGTCTGCATCCACAGCTCAGAGAACAACTGCAGCAGGAAAACCATCTCCGGCTCTCCATGCCCTAGGTGCAGACACGCCTGAGTGCAAGGCACATCTGCAACCGCTTGAGGAACCGGCCACAGCATTGTCCCTGCCAGCCCGCGAAGCCCTCGCTGCTCTGCTCCTCCCCTCCCCCAGCCACCCCGCGCGACCACAGCTCCCTACCCTCTCCCTGGCCACCCCGCGCGGCCACCGCTCCCTACCCTCTCCCTGGCCACCCCGCGCGGCCACCGCTCCCTACCCTCTCCCTGGCCACCCCGCGCGGCCACCGCTCCCTACCCTCTCCCTGGCCACCCCGCGCGGCCACCGCTCCCTACCCTCTCCCTGGCCACCCCGCGCGGCCACCGCTCCCTACCCTCTCCCTGGCCACCCCGTGCGGCCACCACTCCCCGCCCCTTCCCTGACCACCCTGCGTGGCCACCCCTCCCTGCCCGGCCACCGCCCCCTGGGCACCCCGCGTGGCCACCGCTCTCCACCCCCTCCCGGCCACAGCTCCCCACCCTCTCCCCGGCCACCACTCCCCGCCCCCTCCCCGGCCACCCCACGCGACCACAGCTCCCTACCCTCTCCCTGGCCACCCCGCGCGGCCACTGCTCCCCCACTCCTCCCCGGCCACCCCTCCCTGGCCACCCCACACAGCCACCGCTCCCCGCCCCCTCCCCTTGCTGCCCATAGCCTGAGACGGGGGAGGCTGGGGGTGCTGCAGAGAAGAGTGGGTGCTGACTCACAGGAATGGATTTTCTTAGCTGTCTTGTGTCTGTGGATCTCACTCCCGATGCGCGGGCACCTCCGGGATGCGAGAGGCGAATCTTTGACCAGCAGGGTCTGTTGGCCTGTGACCTGCAATCCTGGTGCCCCGCCTGCCTGGGGGCTTGTAGGGCAGAGCAGCCCTGGCTGTCCCTGATCCCCTGGCTAGTTCAGAACCCCAGCAGAGATGGACGATGAAAGGAGCAGGGCCGGAGGGCAGGCTGGGGGGCCACACGGCCAAACCACCTCAAAGCTGCACAGTTACTGGCAGATCTGTCTCCAAGTTTCTGTCTGGGTGGGTCCCCACTTGCGGGGGCCAGATACACCCACCCACCAACAGGCGGGAGCAAGGACCGCGGAACTGCTCTCCTGAGCCCGGATCCGGGTGCTAATGGATTGTCACGGTCTGCGCTGGTTCTGGGTAGAGTCTAGCCCTCTGGAACAGCCTCCCAACAGGGGTTGTGGGGGGCAAAGAATGAATTCACTTTAAGCGGAAGGTGGACACGTGTCTGAGTGGACTGTACGATGGCGTTGCTGGTGATGGCGGGGGGCAGGGCTCAACCCAGAAGGGTCCTGACTGCTATGTCTCATGTACCTAAAACTCATGCATCAGGTCCTCAGCTGGGGGATGTTCCCCTCCCCACCCTGTTCTCTGAGGTTTGGTTTCTTTCCTCTGATGCCCCAGGGCTGGCCCGGGATGGAGATGCAGGGCCAGGGCTCTGAGCGTGGTCTCTCTCAGGTGCTTGGCTGGCTGGATCTTGCTAGCTGATTGCCCTGTGTAGGCTCAGGAAGGAATCTCCCCCCAGCTCAGATTGGCAGTGATCTGGGGGTGCTCACCTGCCTCTGCAGTGCCCGTGTGCAGGTCACTGCCAGGAGTATTTGGGTGTATCTCGTTTCATTCTTTCCTTGACACTGGTGCACCTGGTCTCTGCCTGTGGCTGTGACGCTTTCGTCTCATCGCGGTGCTGGGGGCAGAGTGCGCGTGCTGCCGGCCTGTCACCCACAGGGAGCAGACCAGTCGAGCTGGAGACCCCTGCTGGCCTTCCACGCTCTGCAGCTGCCCTGCACACTCCCAGGACAGGAGCGCTCCTGAGGCAAGCTGGAGAGACTGGCTGGGCTCCAGCTGCGCGGGCTCTGACTCCTGACAGGGTGGGTGGCGATGGGCTGGGCTGGCCGGGGCGGTGGCGATGGGCCGGGCTGCCGGGGCGGGTCTCGGGGCAGGCGGCGATGGGCCGGGCTGGCCGGGGCGGGTCTCGGAGCAGGCGGTGATGGGCTGGGCTGCCCGGGGCGGGTCTCGGGGCAGGCGGCGATGGGCCGGGCTGGCCAGAGCGGGTGTCGGGGCAGGCGGCGATGGGCCAGGCTGGCCAGAGCGGGTGTCGGGGCGGGAGGCGATGGGCCAGGCTGGCCGGGGCGGGAGGCGATGGGCCAGGCTGGCCGGGGCAGGTCTCTGGGAGGAGAGGGGCTGGCCCAGTACTGATTTCTGGGGCGCTTATGAAAGACAACGGAGGAAGACAAGCTCCTGGGGTCTCGCTGGAGGAGCCAATGGTGCCTCCTGGGGCCGAAGTGCTAGACCAGAGGGGTAGTCTGGGCTGGTCCCCAAGTGATGCCTGCTGGGGCAATCCTGGGCCCTTGGGAGGAACGTGTCTGGGTGATCCTGGGCCCCCACACTGAACCCCTGGAGCTGACCAGGCAGCAAAGCGAGGAGCCACCGGAGGGCAGGAGCTTCCCGACAGGTGAGCTCTGAAGAGAGGCTCATAGACTCCTAGACTTTAAAGTCAGAAGGGACCATTATGATCATCTAGTCTGACCTCCTGCACAACGCAGGCCACAGAATCTCACCCCCCCACTCCTGTAACAACCCCCTGACCTATGTCTGAGCTACTGAAGTCCTCAACTTGTGGTTAAAGACTTCAAGGTGCAGAGAATCCTCCAGCAAGTGACCCATGTCCCACGCTGCAGAGGAAGGCGAAAATTCCTTCCCAACCCCAAATATGGCGATCAGCTAAACCCTGAGCATGTGGGCAAGACTCACCAGCCAGACACCCAGGAAAGAATTCTCTGTAGTAACTCAGATCCCATCCATCTAACATCCCATCACAGACCATTGGGCATATTTACCACTAATAGTCAAAGACGAATTAATTGCCAAAATTAGGCTATCCCATCATACCATCCCCTCCATAAACTTATCAAGCTTAGTTCTGAAGCCAGATATGTCTTTTGCACCCACTGCTCCCCTTGGCAGGCTGTTCCAGAACGTCACTGCTCTCATGGTGAGGGCGCTGGGATGCCGCAGGTGGAGTCCACTGAGCTCTGTCTCGCGGCCCCGGCGCTAGGGGGAACTGAGGGGCCCGCTCTGCCCGTCATGTCCTCAGCAGGGGGAGGGCGAGGACGCAGGCTAGACACTGCTGGTCAAATCCCGATCTCCCACATCTGGAGTGGGACCACACGGCCAGACCGGAAGCCCAGACGAGGGCGGGAGCCTCTCCCCACTGTCACGAGACAGAGAAGGACAGCCAAGCCAGCAGTGGCTGACTAGCTCTCCTGCAATCTCCCAGGCTCCAAGCCCAAGAAAGCAGAGACTGGAGCTGGAACAGAGCCACCGAATGGGCAGCCCCATCCTGGCAGGGAGAGGAAGGAGCAGGGGGTGGGGGCACGTACCAGGCTCAGAGGGCTTCAGCACGAAGCATCTGTCTGGATCCAGGCGCAGGAGCTGGCAGAACTGCTGCACGTCCTCAGGGGCATTCCGGGGCTGGATCATCACCACGTCTCCCGCACTGTACCTGCAGGGCACGTGCCAGCTGAGCATAGCCGCCGGGCATCACCGCTGCCAGCTCCTCCCGCACAGCCAACCGCAGCAGAGGGAGGGGAGCTCACAGGCCCCTGCAGAGGGCGGGGTCCGAAAGGGGGATTGCCAAGCAGTGGGAGGAAGGTGGAAGCCTGTTCCTCAATGCAGGCCCCTCCCATGGGTGGAATCACTCTGCCCAGCTCCCTGCCGCCTCGGTTTCCAACAGCAACAAGCGAATCCCAATCAGTACCGGTGGCAGTGCCGTCCCAATCCCCAGCTAGGGCCAAAACACAGCCCAGTTTTCCTCCAGCTCTGCTGAGTAGGGAGCCAGCCCACGAGGGGCTAAACGGCTGGAGACTAGGCACCACTGGGGCCCATTAAACCGCGGGGCCCAGCATCCTTGCAGAAACCCGGAGAGGAGCGGCCGGGGAGAGGGAAATGGAGGCCGGGTGGCCTGGGGAACACATTCATCCCTTCCTGTGGGATCAGGTCAGCTCCCCTCCCGAGCAGCGCCTGCCTGGGGCATCACTCAAAGGGCTGCCCAGCGGCAGTGAAGCAGAGCGGTGGGGCCCACCATTGCGCAGGTGGAGAGGCTGACAACAGGACAATGAGGAGAGGTGCAGAAAGCCAAACACTGATGGCCCTGTTCAGATTGATAAACCTGCTGAACGAGTCTCTGCTCTGGCCAGCAAGAGACCCCTGGAGAAAGAAAACCCCCTTCTTCAGGGCAGTGAGCCAGCAGGGACAGAGAGTGGCTGAGGTCACGGGGTCACTGGGAGCACAAGGAGGGGCCAGGGCAGCTCCCGTTCCACGCGTCCGCTAGGAGCCCAGTGCGTCTAGGGGTGACTCACTCAATCCCAGAGCCTGTGACATCAAACTCAATGAGCCGGACGTCCTGAAAGTGTGATTCCGCCGTGACTCTGAGGTTGGACACCACCTGGGCAGCAAAGGGGTGCAGCTCTGAGGGGGCCTGCCTGGCTGCCTCCCCGTCGCAGCCACTGGAGCGCTCATCCAGAAAATGCAGAGTGAACTTGGAGGGTAAACTGCAGGGAAGAACAATGTGGCACAGTCAGTTCCATTGCATGGCCTCTCTGGGCCAGTGGTGGTTAGCACCAGTCGCCCCCAAAGCCCGGAGCATTGCCTGGGTACCATCTGCAGGCTACTCCCAAACTCAGAGGCACCCAAATGTGCCCCAAACCGCTGCCAGGAGCCAGGCTAGCTCTGCAATATGAGCACAGCCTGAGGGCACAGAAAGAGAGCACAACCCAGCCAGCCTGCCAAGCAGAGCCCCGCAGCCAGATGCATTCTGGGGCAGCCAGAGCCAGGCTCCAGCATCAGCTCGTCCCAGAAAGGACACAGTAAATCTGCCAGGCTTCCAAGCACGCCAGGGACGTGAGGTGTGCAGACGAGGTGCACAGAACCCCTCCAGAGCAGTACTGCCGAGAGCAACCCCCAGGCCGCTGACACAGGGACCGGGCAGCAGGGAAATGCCTGCAGCAAACGCCCACCCCAGCAGGGCCGGCTCTGGTGTTTTTGCCGCCCTAGGCAAAAAAGCCACCCGCCGCCCTCCCCCGGCCCAGCGCGGCAGGGGAGGGCGCTGAGCCCGACCACGGGCCCGCAATCCCCGACCGGCTGGAGCACCGGGGGGAGGGCGGCGAGCCCGCCGCGGCTCCGCTCTCCCCGGCGGCCAGAGTGCCGGGGGGAGGGCAGAGAGCCCCCGGCGGCCAGAGCACCGGGAGCAGGGCGGAGAACCCGGCCGGGGCTCTCCGCTCTCCCCGGCGGCCAGAGCGCCAGGGGTAGGGCGGAGAGCCCCTGGCGGCCAGAGCGCTGGGAGAGGGTGGCGAGCCCGGCCGGAGCGCCGGGGGGAGGGCGGGGAGCCCGGACGGGGCCCCACTCTCCCCAACCGGCCGGAGCGCCGGGGGGAGGGCGGCGAGCCCGCTGCGGCTCCGCTCTCCCCGGCGGCCGGAGTGCCGCAGGGAGGGCGGTGAGCCCAGTCGCGGCCCCGCTGTCGGGCCGGAGCACCCCGCCGCGCCGCCCCCCTCCAGGCGCCGCCCCAAGCACATGCTTCGTGGGCTGGTGCCTGGAGCCGGCCCTGCACCCCAGGGACACAGAGAACGGTGCGGAATCCAGGGAGCCTTTCCC